TTTTTGCTTAAGTTCTCCTTTTGTGTTCTATGGAAGGAAGTCATGAGTTTTAGACAAAAGGGTGAAATAAATCATATAAATAATAATAAATAATAATAATATGAAAAATAAATCAATAAATACATGCTTAGATGAATTAGCACTAAATAACACACAAACTCAAACAACGATCCAAAGAACCTATTATGCATCATGAAACTACTTGGTGAATCTTCAGAGAACCATATTAAGAACTCAAGAGCCCTAAGCACCTATAAGAAGATTATTTTTCAAATCTAAGGTGCTAGAAAGAACCCATATTTCTAAGAGTTCAAGGGAAGCAGAAAATTTCACAGCCAACAGCGAAGAAATGTATCTGGAAAGGACCACCATTATTACAAGAGATCAAATCAGAACCCGTTCCTCTAGAACAGTGATGGGCAAACTTGGCCCTTCCAGGCCACTTTCCTGCAGAGATTTGATCCAACCCTGATAAAACTCACCTGCCTGTAGCCTTCTAGTAGTCTTGAAGACAATGATTAGCTGGTTCAGTTGTGTTTGATTAGGGTTGGAGCTAAACTCTGAAGGAAAGTGGCCTGGAAGGGCCAAGTTTGCCCACCCCTGCTCTAGAAGGTCATTAGTAGGTGTGTTGTATAAAACACTCAATAGCTTGTAGTTCAACTTCAGAGGATGGGTGGGCAGGAGGCTCATTCAGGGCTTACGTCTTTACCAGCCCTGATCTGATCTGGAGTTAACAGACTCCTGTGTGGTGACAGACTCGCACGAGGAGACCAGCAGCTAAGGGTAATTACCACTCTTCCCCACTGTCAGTGAAAGGTTACTCATCCTGCACACATCCATTGGGTTTTTTTCTGGGCAAGTACCAGGTGACATTTACTGTCAGAGCACAAACAAGCAGAGCCAGCAACTTCAATCATCTCTGACTAATAACCACCATTTCAGTCATCTCAGTTTCGGGGGGCCAGTTTCCCTTTCTACCCCAAAACCTCTGGAGAACCTAAATATAAAGCTTTCTTCCCATGAGACTTATGTTGTGATTGGTTGTGATCTTCTGTGAGTGGATATTGTGCCACAAATAAAAAGACAAAACGGTAAATTCATTAAACTATAGCACAACTTTGACATGCAAAACATTTAATTTAAACAAATATACTCATTCACACCATAGTCCATCTTAGCCAGGTTCAACACATGCAATTATTATTTCATCACAAAATGTAAATATATAATCACCCAGCTCTTTGGATATACAAGTAGGTAAAACTTTATCCGCATATACTCACATAGGCCCAGTTTTACTAAACAGGGCAAATTAGCATGATAGCGCAATTCCAAAAACAGCGCTGATGGGTGTGTACATTTCTGCGGGTGATGTACTAACAACGTGCAAATTAAAGAACACAGACACAACATCTCATTTACATATCGACCAACGCAAATATACCAAGCGCAACGCAAATTAGAGTAGTCGCAAATAAAGAATAAAGAAATAAAGAAGCTACAGTACGTTCAAAAGAAATGGAGGCCAAAAAATGAAGGGATGCATGAAGTTTTGATAGACCTGGTATTGTGTGACTCCTAGTTGAGGGTTCCAAGTCGTCTTTTATTTCCTGAAGCAAATTAAAAATAACATGGCTTGGCAAAAGATATGTTCGGATAATGTGTTCTTCTGGCATTCCAAATAAATTAATACGTGTGGAAAAAAAATCATCTCCCTTCTACCACACGCTCTCTGTTCTCTGCGGTGCCTCCTAGCAACAAAAACTGCAGCCCTTTCAAGCGCAAAATAGTTTAAGACATGCTTTTTGGGGCGTTAAATAATGGAGCAAATACCAGTAATTTGACGATCGCAAATGTTAGTAAATCGCGTTGCGTGATTCATTTTAATACTCTCCTCCTATAAATTTTGCGTCTGAAAGGGAAACTCCTACAAATGCATATTCAATAATGTGAGTCACAAAAATAACCGTGTCCACGCCTTTTCAGCGCTAATTCTTCACTGCGCATCTTTAGTAAATCCTGACAGTACTATTTTAACGCCAAAAGACGGTTTGCGCTGGCGCAAGCTTTTCGTAAAATGTAAAATATATTATGGTCAACTCTAATCTGCTAAATATTTACATCATGGCTTTCTCTTTATGTGTATTGTGAAAAGTGCTATACAAATAAATGTGACTTGACTTGGCTGATACAGGTTGCAGCAATCATTTTTAATTTAAGTGTGGGCAAAATATTTATTTCTACATAATATAAAATGCACCAGATTCCCAAGCATGCCTTGTGCGATATTTCAGTTTATTTAGTAAACAGATTTTTATTTACAGGTGCATTCAGTAATAGGGTGACCATACGTCCTCTTTTACCTGGACATGTCCTGGCCGGGATTTCTAAATTGCCTGAAATTTCAAGGGTTTGGCTTTGTTTTACTGTTGTTTTCATAGTGGTTTAAGGTAATAACTAAAAAGTTGTTTGACCAATAACACGCAGACATTGTACATAATCAACCAATAGTGGTGTGTGAGAAGGTGGGATCTACAGAGAATGGTCAAAGCAAATACACACACACACACACACACACACACACACACACACACAAACACACATATATATATATATATATATATATATATATAATGTATGAGGATTGTAGAGAATGTGTCAATAGCAAAACAAAGCCAAAACCTTGACATTTTAGGCAATTTAGAAATCCTGCC